ATGGCCGATGTGACGCTCAGACACGCCCGTGAGGTCACGCCCTCCCTAGCCCGCATGGGGATGCAACTCATGCAGGTAGACACCCACTGTACACATAGACTTGAAATACAAAATCCTAGACTGCCACTGTCACCACTGCCACTCTTCGCGTAGTTGGTCTAGTGGTTAGGCTACCGGACTCGTAATCGTGAGGTTGCAGGGTCGGGGGTTCGAGCCGCGGGTCCGATGTTATGTCCTTGGGAAAGGTACTTTACACAAATTTTCCTCACTTGACGCAGGTGAGAATAGGTACCCGGCCCGAGACAGCGAAAGATCTTGTCAGTATGTTTGTGTTTTAGCGCCTATAAATGGCTTCTTACACTGTATGCTTCCCAGGAAGTTGACGTTGTTTCAGCATGCTCTCAGGTCTGTAGGGGTTAAAGTATAGATTTTAAAGCACTTAAATCTTGCTGTTAAGCAGGGATTTGCCCTATACAAATGCTATCTATTATTAAAAATCTTCACTATGTTGGTTTAAACGTGCAAATGAAAGGCAAAACATGAGTGTGCTGGAATCGGGTGCCCACGTCCCTTGTGACCTATTGGGGCAGAAAGGACTAAAGCTAACGTTATATAAACACTATTCCACATCTTCACTCACCACCACCGTTGTATCAGTATCTAAAATCATTGGTCTCTGGTCCTTGACATTCATCTATATTCCTTGAATCTCTATCTCTGTAACAGATACTCGTTATAATAAGTATGTTGTATGTTCACACTGTTCTCTTCCTGTGGATTCCCATCCAACATTCCAAGACTATCCTTGTTATAAAATGTGTCACGGCGCGGAGGAATCAGGCGCTCGTCAATTTTTGGGCATGTAGAGTTATTGCTATCTGCGTAAAGCTTTTTCATTCGTCTTACTTTTGATGAAAGATATATCCATCTGTCGTGAATAGAAGTCGAGATATTTGCGATTGAAGGAGATGAGGGTCGACTGGTTTCAGGGGTAAAATTAGTGGAAAAATGACCCCCAAAGTTCGGTAACTTCCATAGATTGATAGTCCTTGAAAACAGAAAATTTGCAATGTTTGTGCTTTTAATCAACGCTTTTCTGTAAAATCGACGCCAAAATATGTTTGTAATTAGATATGTAAAGTGTTGAGCTAACAAACAAAAATTCTATAAAATTTGCCAAACTGGATGAAAATTGACGGTTTCTCCAATTTCATTATTTTGACGAGCGCCTTGTTTAACCACGTCGTAACACAAATCTTCATTATATTGAAACTCTTTGTTTTCATCAGGACGTGGCCCCGATCAGACTGAAGCGGTTGTCCTTTGTCCATGAGCCCATCTTCTTCGACCTGCTGTTTACTGTCATGAAGCCTTTCATCAAGAACAAGCTGATGGGCAGGGTAAGCTCAAAGTGGTTACGATAATTTGCTTCCTCAATGCCTTCTTTTCCTATATACGTTTTCAAAAACAGTAAAAACAGTTCAAAACAAAGAGTAGTAGTATTGGGTTTTACGGCGCTCGCAACTGCATAAGGTCATATGAGTGCGCGAAACACAAGCTGGTAGCATTCACAATAGTTCACTGAGCTTAAAAAGAAGTCATATTTTCTGTGTTAAAAAAAATGAAGATACGACAAGAAGGCACTGAGGTGGCGAATTTTTGTTGGGTTTTTTTTTATTTCAAAATAATTTTGTAGGAACGAAAAGTCTAATGAAATCATTTTTAAACTGATAATAAGTTTTTAAAATAATTGTTGTCTAAAACAATTGGTTGTTCCTACCCTCTTACTGGAGTGTTTAGTTTTAGTGAGAGTTTTATGGCACTGGAGTGTGTGATGTAGTGGTTAGGCATTTCATTGTTGTTGTTGTTAGCGATCCAGTCGGCATTTCATTGTTGCACACAGAAACATGCGAAGGTGTCTATTTGATTCTCCAGGAGGGAGTTGTTTGTAATTGAGTATCACATCACGTCTGTCTACTGGAACATAATTGTATTCTCCTCAGCTCCGATCGGCCAAAGTTTCCTGATTCATAGTTGAACTGAACTTTGTGACATAAAACAGAAGCTCAATTTATTTGCTTCCTTAAACTCCTCGCCACTTGTTGAAAGTATCCATCCTTTTACACGACCCCCCGCCCCCCATGTGTGTGTGTGTGTGTGTGTGTGTGTGTGTAAAAGAGAGAGAGAAAGAAAGACAAAATGTGTAGGTGTGTATTATTGTGTGTGTATGACGTGTGCATGCATGTGAACATGGATGCATGCATACGTGCACACGCAAACATGCACACACGAATAAATACATCATAAAAAGTAACAGCCGAATTCATCAAGTGGCAATTATCCCTCCTCTCTTTTCTGCAGATTAACCTACTAGGCAAAAAGACAGAAAAACTTCAGTTGTATTCAGACCCAGACTCCCTGCCTGAAGACCTCGGTGGGAACATGAAGCCTTTCAGCAACCAGGTCAGTCTCTTCCTTATTTTCATGTGTCTGTGGGTGGTTGGTGGGTGCTCTTGGGTGGTTTGCTCGTGGGTGGTTTGCTCCTTCTTTCCCATCATGTTGTCCTTATCTCTCCTCATTCTTTTTTTCTTTTGTGTATGTTAAGCTCAAGTAACACCTTATTGTCAAGCATTTATATGACCTCTGTGGTATAGTTTGCTCCTTCTTTCATACATACAGTCTTTATCTCTCCGTGGTTTTATGATTGTTACTCTCTAGTAGTAACAACTCGTATCTTCGGCACTTGCATGACCTATTAATGAGGCAAGTACAGTAAAACTGTTGCTAAAACTGAAAAACTAAACATCAAGAGTCTAGTCCGGAGTAAGACATTGATTGTTATAGTTCTCAATCCTTTATTTTCATTTGAGGCCTCATAAATGAGGATCCAGGCAATGTGTTTTGGTAGATATAATATATATATAGATCTATATATATATATATATATATAGAGAGAGAGAGAGAGAGAGAGAGAGAGAGAGAGAGAGAGAGAGAGTTGTCTGGCACTTCTATGAGCAACACGACTCATTATGTCGCTCATTCTGTTCGGAACAGTTTTTGTGCATAATAAAGTGTGAGCAATACTGTCACAACCACATATCATGTAATGAATATGCAAATATAGTTTAGAGTGCATGTAACGAAGTAGGTGCGACACTAATATCTTTTCATTATGTACGAATTTTGTATTGTAGGCCCTACGTGTTTTAAATGCCAAAAAAACTACTACAAAATATATAAGAATAAATTCGAGACCTGAAAAGCTATTTTCTATGTGCGTGTTTTGCTCTGCGCTTGCTAGACAGATCACCGATATGCTGTTAATATCCTCATCTTTTCTACCCCTCAAATTTTCCTGTCATATTAAGTTGTTCAAATTCCCTTTATCTGCCCTCGTGCCCCATGAATTTCATCCATCGCCTTCTTATTGTCTAAACGAGTTATCTTTTCATGTCTGCTGTTTCGTTTCCAGCACTTCTTTGATTTGTCTTCGTTTCTGTCAGTGATAAACAAAACCAATTGTGCTGGTTTTGTTTGTGTTTTTCTTTTCTCCTCTTTTTGTTTTTTTTGTTGTTTTTGTTGTTTTTTTGTATAAACGAACTAGAAGACAAAAATTACATATTTAAAGAAAAGAAACAAATAGGAAAAAAAAAACAATTTAAAAAAGAGCTTCTGTTCCTTAAGCATCTGGAATGAGATGTTTTTAAAGAATGCTGGTAGTTTCATAGAAGGAGAAGAAAAACAAAAGAAAACCAGTGAAAAAAATAAGAACAGCAAATCGGTCTCAATTTTTAAAAAATGAATTTTTTCCTGTCTGACTGCCTGTCTACCTATCTGTCTATTTATGGTCTCCATTTTGTCATTTTCTATCCTCTGGATTTATTGTCATAATTTCCTTTAACAAAATGTTTGTTCACAGGCTTGGAATGATTCGTTCATGGCTTCTGAGACCCAATTTTTTGAAGATAATGCGTTTGGATTTGAAGACAAGAAGTCATCCAAATAGGAAGCTGTTTGATGTTAACGTCGCAGGTCAAGAGGCGTCGAGAAGATTGTTGTGATCCTGAAACAGACGAGAAAACTTTTTGTAATGATGAAAAGAATAAAGGGGATTCGTTCACCGCAGCAGATGATCCTTCAAGAGCTTTCTGTGCCGCAGAGAATGATGTACAGAAATGTGGGGAGATGTGGAAGAATATATCTAGAGGCTTGTTCAAGATAGGGAAATGTGGAAAGTCTTTGTTCATGGCTTACTGTACCCTGATCAAGGGATAAGAAAGGCGATGGTGAGGATGTTCTTGATGATGGCAATGATGGTGTTCACGTACTGTTGTATTAGTGTGCCGATGTACAAGTGTGTACAAGTTGTGGGTTGGATAAAGAGATTCCGAGTATCTCTCGGGCCAAAGCAAGAGTAAATTGGGTGAAATGGGTTAATGTGTACAGGTGTGTGCAAGTTCCGTTCCAAGTTGAATTATTCCGAATATCTCGCAGGCTAAAATTGGGTGGAAAGGGTTGATGAATACTCAAATGTCCATGTCACAAACTGGATTAAGTGATTCTTGATATCCCGTATGCGTGCCAACACAGGAGAAAATGGGTTGAAAGTCGGTTGAAATACTCAGGCACTCAATAGTGAGACAGGACTGAAACTGACGCTATAGCAAAGGCATTATGCTACTCGAGGGCATTTCATGAAATAAAATGTTAGATCTGTTGCTTCCGGCAGGGCAGGAAACTATCGATTTAATTTTCAAGACGGACAGTTTTGTTTTAATCAACAAAAATCAGCTCGCCTCGGGCCACGTTCATGATCAATTCCTGGGTCAACTCACGGGCCAGACGGAACTACTTGTGGGCTGTGTCTGGCCCGTGCGCTGTCGTCTGCTCATGCATGGTTTGCTGTTGTATATAGTCTAACCAGTCCCCAGGGTTTTATTCGCCCCGCATAATTTAGCAAAGTTTGATCATTTTTTACATAATTTCTGATTATTTCCTAAATATCATTCTGTGTAAAAATTAACAGTATCGCTTAATTTCACATTTTTGGGCTCAATTTAAAATGGCATAATTTCAGAATTTTTTTTGCATATAACCGCGGGGACAGTATAAGCTACAGGAAGCTGTCTGCTCGTAATTTGGTTGTCAGTCTGTTCTTTTTGTTGCTATAGCTGCTTCGTCTGCTGCTGCTGTTGTCGCTGTTGTTGTAAGTATCAGTGGTGATGATGATCTGAGAAAGGTCTATATATGATAACACAGAAATAACTCATGTAGCCAGTGAAGTCATTCCTGTGTACAGGAACATTCCCACTGTGTCCATCCAAAACTGTTAAACAGCTACTGCCAACAGCTGTCATACATTATTCCAATTGTACAGGTAACCAAGTTCCCAGATATTTTATCACCAGCCTAGTTTAGAAAGAACTTTTAAACTGAATTCTTAACAAGGTTCCATTATCTGTATAATTTGGGCGGTCCGGCCCTTTGCGTCACTTTTTAGAAGAAACCACTCACTCTGTAGCTCTTAAAATTTGAATGAAAGTAGCATTCAATACAGCTAAGAGCATGATGCAGCAGTATTTCCATGATTTTTCAGCTAAAGAATTTATAAAATTATAGGTTTCAATCGCTGTGTATGGTAATGAAATACTTCAGAATTAAGAATTTACTTTCTTATACCACTTCTTTAAAAATGTGAGCGACCGTTCTTCAGTTTTGGCTCAAATCTGTTGGGATCAATGCAAGTCATTTTGTGTTGTGACTCAGGGTGGGGGGTGGGGGGGGGGGTTGGGTGGGGGGGGGGGGGGGGGGGGAGAGGGGATGGTGACTGGTTCTTGAGCAACACACCATAATCCCAGCTGAAAAAAAATTCCAAACAAACAGGACTATTCACATTGGTAACCAGCAACTATGTGTGAATTGTCTGTGTTTGTGATATTATTGTGGTTTATAATATTCATGCATTTCTATTCAGCCTCTTAATTTATCATTTCACTGTGTTGAAAGGGGCATTATACCTGTATAATTTTGCTTTTTTATTTAATTTGTATAAAAATTTGTGTATTTATGTACGCCCTTGTGAAATAAATTTTTTTAAGGGATCGGTGAAATGGAAATTATTTTTAAAAATTTTTGTTTTTATTTAATAGCTATATTCCAAAGAAGTGACAGAAAATCTGTCCTAAGTTATAGTGTGGTCAAAAATTTGTGGTGCGGCTTATTGTCAAATATCTCCTCAACTATCGAACATAGGTTCTCCGATTTTTGCACAGTGACTTGTATCAAGTTGTCTTAACAGATCAATATTTTTGTAAGCACCTGATAGCTGTATGTATGCTAGAAAATTCCTTAATAAATACCAAACAAAAATCCAAGTGAGTGGTTTCTACAGATTTTTTAATTTTTACAGCTGGGGCAATATTGCTTTTAATAGCAAGTCCGTCATGTTTTTCTAATCGTGACATTATGCTTATTGAACGCATGTTTCAAGAGACATTAGTGCAAAAAATGCGTTCACTAATTGGAAAATCCAACAATAAAAAGGCACTAGTCAGCGTGTTCAATGAAACCCTTCTCAAAAACGTTTGGTTTTTCTTTGCTGAAGCTGTGCCATGGAGCCTGTTGAATATCACTCAGTTATCAAGTTTTTAAACTTGCAAGGAAAATCCCCTTCGCCTATTTTTCAGGAAATGGTCCAAGTTTATGGTGACAAATGTCCTTGTTATATACTGAAACATACTGGGTAAGAAAATTCAAATCTGGATTCATGTCGGTGATGGATGAAGATTGTGAAGGGCGCCCATCCTTTGTGGTGACTGAAGAGAATGTATCCATAGTGAAGAAACTGGTTTTACAAGACCGAAGTATGGGCTAACTGTCAAATAGCTCTCAAGTGGAACGGCAATCGGTGTAGGGTCAATTGAAACGATTCTCCAAGACCATCTTAATATGAATAAGGTGTCTGTGCGGTGGGTACCCTGTATTTTGACAAGTGAGCAAAAGAAGCAGAGGGTTGAATCCCGCAAAACTCTCCTTCTAATTGAGTCCGATGACACAAATTTCTTTAAAAACATGGTGACTATGGATGAAACGTGGATTTATCATTTTGATCCAGAACAAAAAATATCCTCCATGCAATGGAATACCTCTTCTTCTCCCTCACCAAAGAAGAAAAAACAGTCAGGGGGGACTACTATTCGGGTTTGCTGATAAAATTGCAGTCCAAATTGGTGAGAAAAAGACGTGGAAAACTCCGTAATGGGGTCCTCCTACTGCATGACAACGCCCCTGCGTACAGGGCACAACAAGCAGTCCAGACAGCAGAACAATTCGGCTTTGAAATCGTGCCACACACTGTTTATTCACCGGACGGAGTAACTTCTAACTTTTCTGTTTCCTAATCTTAAAAAAATCACTGTAAGGACGTCGTTTCCATGACAACTAGGATGCCATTGAAGCTGTGGAAGACTGGTTAGGGGCCCGTTCTGGGTCATTTTTTCTCAAGGACTTTTGGAAGTCAAAGAGAGGTGGCAGAAATGTGTGACTCTGCATGGTGACTGTGTAGAGAAATATAAGTATGTGTGCCAAGTTACAAAAGCTCTATCTTTATTCCTTCATATTTAGACCAATGACTTCTTGAACTCCCCTCATAAATATAGTACTGTTACTATTATTATTGGCATATTAGAAGAGTTCTTCAGGACCTAGCTGACTCAAAATATGAGCTTGTCACTGATGTTGGACTTTCCAGAGGAAGTTTGTAGATTTAATTTCTTTTGTGAATCTGCTGAAAAGTTTCATTTTGTCGGCTGTCTGTGAAATGCACTGAGCCCAGAAAACAAAATTTTCAGTAGAGAGAAACCATTGACACTTTTTAGTGGCAAAACTAGTTACAAGTGAACGCTTCTTTGTTCATAAAGTTCTCAAAACAAGCGTTCAATAAACACAATCTCACGATCAGAAAAAAAATGACGGACTTGCTTTTAAAAGCGAATATTGTCCTAGCTTAGCTGTATATCTTTTAAAATCTGTAGAAACCACCAACTGGGATTATTTATTAGTGTTTATTAGGAATTTTCGAGAACAGAGCTAACAGGTATTTACAAAAATATTGACTTGTTAAGACAAATTGATACAAGTCGATACTGTGCAAAACCTGGAGATTTTTTAATGTTAGATAGCCTAGTTTATGAGACATTTAACAATAAGTTGTGCCACGAATTTTATACTGCACGATAATATGTACTTTTATCTTGCTTTTTTTTTCAACATTTAGAATTTTATTTTCCCCAAAATGTGTCTTGGGCTTAGCACATTTTATCGGCAGGAAAGTTTTATTCATTAGATAGGTTGACTGGTTATAGAGTCCTTTGTTTGCTTTGTCGGAACAGTTCACAGATGTTGATATGAGGCTGTTTTTGGGCTGAATTGGCTGTAAAACTTAACTCTGCTCATTCTAACAGGCAGTCTAGTGGTACTTGTGACTTCAGTAGTAGGCCTGCCTGTAACAAAACATTTATGAATAGTTTATCTCAGGAAAAATGTCCTCTCCGATACAGTTCTGAATTTACAGGATAAGGTTTACTGATTGAATTTGTTGTTTTTATCAAAGTATGTTTGTGTATGTTCAATGCGCCTCTGTGTGTGTGTGTGTGTGTGTGTGTTTGTGTTTGCGCATGTGTGTGTGTGTGTGTGTGTGTGTGTGTTTGCGCATGTGTGGATGTGTGAGAGTTTGCGTATATGTGTGTAGGTGTGTGTGTGTGTGTGAGTGTGTGTTTGCATATGTGTGTGTATGTGTGTGTATGTGTATGTGTGTGTTTGCGCTTGTGTGTATATGTATGTGTATATATTAAAGTTTGTAAAGTTTAACCATCTACAAGTACTATGTGTGTCTGTTGTGGGTGTGCCATCTTTCATTTATGCTGGTTCATAGGTCTCCTCTGTGTGTGTGTTGGTTTGAGTTGGTTATCAATATGCATTTACACTATGTTTTAAAGACAAAGTATCTACATATTATATGTGTACATATGCATGTAAATACAAACATACATATAGATTATGTTTTTGTGAGAGTGTTTATCTCTATGTATGTGTATGTGTGAGTGTGTGTGTGTGTGTGTGTGTGTGTGTGTGTGTGTGTGTGTGCATTTGAGCATATGTACGCAAGTGCATTTGTTAACTTTGAAAAAAGCCAACAGCCTGTCAAGTACCTCTTGCGACACACAATTTTATAGTTGCTTTCATAAGCAATCCACTTAAATCCAAATTTTGAGAATTTTCAATTTATACACCCTCCCAAAGCTCTACCAAAGATGTACCTTTCAACATCATCAAAATGCAGTTTACTACGATGGTCAAGACTAACAACTTAATCTTGCTTCTCATGATTCCTGATAGGAAGAACACGACAAAAAATAATTTTTTTGTCTGTGGCGTAAAGAGTACCCAGTGGGTGGTTGGCGGGTGCTCTGGTGTGGTTTGCTCCTGCTTCTTTCCTCTCATGCATCTATCGCTGTATCTCTCCTCCTTAGTGGGTGGTTGGCGGGTGCTCTGGTGTGGTTTGCTCCTTCTTTCCTATCAAACATCTATCGTCCTTATCTCCCCTCCTTCTTTTTTATGTTTGTTACTCTCTTGTAACACCTCTAATCTTCTGGCGCTCATATGACTTTATGCAGTTGCTAGCGCCGTAAAACCTCTACTAAAACAAACAAAGAGTACCCATACAGACTTAAGTAGATTGCTTGTGACACTGACGATAGACTATAACTCACACTTTCCTCACACTTGTACATTCTTTGTCTGTTATATGGTCTCTTTTAAGGCAGACAAGCGGGCTAACCCAGATTGGGGGGATTTCCAGAAATCTTTACCTACACCAAAAGTGGGCATTGTCCTACCTAAAGGAGAAGTTGGGTTTTATTGGTGTGTATATTTGTTTGGTTATAGAGAAAACTCTCCTTGTCTTTTAAAGAAACTGAATAAGGGTCCAAAAACTTTACCATCGATTTTCTCGAAACTGTCGAAACAGCATTTTTCGGGATAACCCACTTGTGCTTAAAAGCAACCATTTATGCATAATACTGACTCTCTAGTGACCTTTGATATCTTTGCTACGGAGATTTCAAGAGGACCACGCAAAGTAATTTTTTGTGTTTCTTTAACAATATTTATTGCCCTCTACCTACCACATTAATCACAAAACAAAATATCCCCCGCGACGGGGCTTCTGACTGAAGCGGCTTTAGGCCATTCCCAAAGGGGGGGGGGATATGAACGTGTTCTTATGCTCAGTAGAATTGTAAATGGGCTGATTCATCAATGTCATGCTCATATCGTGCCTGAACTGCATACGAGAAACTACTGCTTTTTCTTTTCTAATCCTTACTATCGTCATTTTTTCCTCTACTTCTTTTGTATGTTTGTCACTCTTTTGTGACCTGCTATTTTCGGGATGCCTTGATGCAGACTTTGTGCTGTTGAAGCTAGAGAGGTGAGCAGAGTAAGTCTGATTCCCTGAATGGACTTCTCTGTTGACATCCACCCCTTGGTGCTCATATGACCTTATGCAGTTGTGAGCGCTGTAAAACCTCTACTAAAACTAAACTCAAACAAAACCCAAACCAAAAAACAAAACCGACCCCCTCCCCCCCCAAAAAAACCTATAGTATCCCAGCCCCTTAGTTTCACTGGGATTCTTTCACCATTTTCAGACTGCAGAAACTTTTTATTATTACTATGACCAGCTAGCACATAAATCGATGTACAGAAAAGTGGGAAGACATGGAATAACATCAAGAGACTAGCCCAGGATAGAGAAAAGTGGAGGGTGTTTGTCCGTGGCCTATACCCTGATTCAGGGTGAGAAAGGCACTGATGATGATGATGATCACCAACTAGAACCGAGCCACCGCTCAGTTGTGCTCGGCGAGGTGAAATTAAAAGAAAATAAAACCCCACATATTGCGTAAAGGGACATAATGCAAAAGTTTTACTTTACAAAATTAGTTGAAAAATAACTGGAATTGCATCCCTTTTATTTTCTGGGGTTGAGCAGAAAAAACTATACCGTGCGTAATAATTATTACCAATAATAAAGATGATAATGATATTATCATTTCTTATCAATCTAGATTATGACAAGGAAGTATAGGCCTACAACTTGCTTATTTGCAGCAGGCCTCAGTCTCACTTTGATTCCGATAGCTGTAGAGAAACTTTTCTTGGTGTTCTGTGAGGCCGTTTTTGTGTGGAATAAGCCGTAAAACTCAACTCTGCTCATTCTAACGAGCAGACTACTTAAGATTACATTAGTGACAAAACATTTATAATTAGTTTAGCTTTTACGATGAGTAATTGGTTGTATCAAAGACAGGAAGGAAACTGGGGAGTCCCCTTGTAGGAGTGATTTCTTGTTTCACTTTTCTGTTTATTTTTTGTACTTGTTGGTTTTTGTTCTTTTTTTGGTTTGCGGTCTACAATAGATAAAAATATTTATTGTATATATATATTTTTTTTAGTAAGGATTTACGGCGCTCGCAACTGCGTACGGTCATATGAATGCCATTACTGTATATGGTCACTTTTAAGGACAAGCGGGTAACCCAGATTTCGGGGTTTCCAGAAATCTTGACGTACACCAAAAGTGGGCATTGCCCTACCTATAGGAGAAGTTTGGTTTCATTGGTGTGTATAATATTTGTTTGGTTATAAAGAAAACTATCCTTGTATTTTAAAGAAGCTAAACAAGGGGCAAAAACTGTTCCTTCGATTTTCTCAAAACAGCATTTTTTGGGATAGCCCCCTTGTGCTTAAAAGCGACCATATATACAACTTAATTGTTCAAGATGGCCATTCATTGGCCACCTTCGGTCAAAAGTGGTTTTCATTTCATCTGACTGGTGTTCGCTGTTGTCTCCTTGGTTTTGTTTAGGACCTACCAATCAGCAGTCACCATCAATGGTGTGTTTGTTTTTTAATTGTCCGCCCTGGTGAAACTGTAAGATAATATTGTGCATGGATGAATGACGCAGACGTACTCTCAGAAGTATGTTTTTTGTATTGCACATCATATGTGTGTCACGACACGGTGGAATCAGGCACTAGTCAATTTTTAGGTATGTGGATTTATTGGTATCATCTCAAAGTTTGTTCATTTGCCTTGCATTTGATGAAAAAAATATCCATTTATCTTGAATAGAAGTCGAGGTGTTTTGCGATTGAAAGAGGTGGGGTCACCTGGTTTTACAGGTGAAATAAGCAAGAAAATGGCTGCTCAAGTTTGGTGACTTCCGTAGCTCAAGAGTTCTTGGAAAGTGCAAATTTACGTTTTTCGTTCCTTTTATCGACATTCTTCTTTTAAAATCCACCCACGAGAATGTTTTAGAATGGACGTACTAGGTGTTTAGCCAAAAAACTAAAATTTGAAAAAATTTCAAACTGCCCGAAAAATGCAGATTTCTTCGATTTCATTATTTTGACGAGCACCTGATTTCACCACGGTGCCTGACATATATATATATA